TCATTTTTATACATTTATTTGCTAACATTTTTTGTCATTATATAGTACATGAACGGTTTCTTAAGTGTAGTTTATGTGACTTCAAAGTATGGTAATAATGCATAAATTGTTGTACAAATAGAACGGCTTTGCAGGATATGTGAAAACCAGCGAATTCTGAGAGCTTTTACTGGTAAAACTTACTTGCTTTAGAAAACTTACTCTTAAGCTGTCCCTTAGGACGCTGTCAGCAGGCTTACACGAAGTTTATAAATCTTCATAAATATTGTTTCAGCTTACATCAGACTGCGCCTGAGCCTGTTCGAAATAGCCATGCAAACATGATCGAACTGATGTCTATGAATCCGGGCAGTGAAAGTTTCGAATCATCTGGCAGACATGGTAGAGAGATATGAAGCAGAGAATCTTTTGGTAAGTTTAGATCGTACCACGTTAGACAAAGTGCTCCTCAAGCTCTTTTTTTTGCGTTGCCTGTAGAAACAACCAACAAGTTTCAAGAACGTTACAATATGCTACGTGGATCGTCGATAACCGAAGATTATTGCAACCTGATTATTGAATTGATCAAGGAAGGTGAACGAAATGAACAACGTGAAGCTGCGTGAAAGATTATTCGTTTGAATATAAATATTTATATATTATAGATATTTAAATTCTTCACCTTAAAAAATCACTTAATTATTCGTTTGATCAAAGAAGTAGAAGAGAAGAAAGAACACGAAAAACTAACGAATACCAACAACATATTACTAGTCAAACTGTGAAAAATACAATGAACAGCAAAAGTGCTCGTCATGCAAAAGACACTGCAGGTGCAACAGCTGCTGATTCTGCTGAGTTTCAATAAGAAAAAACCGACTAGAATGTGTAGAAAGAGTTGTCTACCTGTTTCATCCAGTGTGTAATAATATAATTGTTTTGTTATTTTTAATCGTAGCTTCACAGTAGATTGGCTAATCCGGAAGTAAATACATTGGAAGTTTAGATTAAAACATTAAAGTTTTGTTCTTAACGTAAAATATCTTCATACTTGGCCGGAAATGATATGAAACAGATAACAGTAGCAATGACATTTTTCAGAAAAGATTGATACATAAGAGCCATTATCTGATAGGCCGACAGACTGAGATACTTGATGTCACGGATCGGGGTCTAATTTTTACCATATACAGGAAGAATACCCCGCCTTGCGGCTACCTTGCGGTGTAGGGTGCTGCCGAAGCAGTTTCGATAAGTCCGATATCTTTCTCATAGCTGATGATCTTCAGAGACGGTCACCCGTTCTTCTACTAGTCACCAAGCAAGCTGTACCCCTGGATAGAATGCCAGCCTGATACAGAGTTCTTTTCACTCAATTGCTTGAGCTCCTCATACACACTCACCAACCACATACTAACACCGAAGTACCGGCGTATGTCACAACGTAGTGAGCATGCTATCGGACGGGTGATCAGAGACAATAGCCATTAGTAACTTGTCCAAGGTTATTCAATGACTGGGTGGCGCCGAGGCTCGAACACGGTCCCTTTGAAGTACGTGTCGAACAACATAACCATTCAGCCATAGCGGCTCCATGTACAGATTCAATATACTAACTTATAGCCGAAAGATGTTGCTGTAAAAAAGTTTCCTTCCCGAGCTGTGGGTGACTTTAACGACCGAAGGCGATATATTTCGGAGTTTTTCGTTAATTTTCATTTTATGGTGAAAATCTCAGTAATTTTTCTACGTGAAAATTCAAAAAAATTAAAGTAGTCTGATAGGCTAACAAAGTACGCCATTCGATTCAGTTTGTGCAGCTGATTCCGAATATAATATTTTTATTGTACAAGGGATGAATCCCAATAAAGAATAGTAATCTCTGATTTTTTCGCTCCTGATTGAACAGGATAGACCTTTGACCTCAGGCTAAATCAAACATTATTCGCTTACTCAGTTTTTAACCATGAATCTGAAACAAGTATTTCAAAAAGTTAGAAGAACAAAAAAAGAAAAAAATCTGAAGTTTTTTGAAACCGAAGTTTCGAAATTTTAGACAAATCCAATTTTTTTCAATTTAGCTTCCTCAGAAAGAAAAGAAACAATCAAAACCATTTTTTCTTATCCAGCTCGGTGTACTCCATCCAACCATGTACGAATAAATGCAAAAAACGTTTGCTATGATTTTGAATTTCCGGTACATCAGTCAATCAGTTTATTTGCAAGAAAATTTAAGTCGAAATGCTGAGTTTGCTGGTTGATGAGAGAACAAAAATGCCGAGAAGCAATTATCGTATTGTAAACATAACGCTAACAAAAATTCAATAAAAGTAACCAGTAAATTTGTACAAAAAAGAATCGTATAATTCGTTGCAGTCTTCAAATAATGTTGTTTTATTTGTGAACAATTTTGTATTCGTTTGAGCTGCTTGAAACGGGGATTGCACTAGAACCGTAGCAGTGACACTTCGTTTTAATGTTGTGGAATTATACATTGAAAAATTAGAAGTTTGAAAACAAATATAATATGTACCATTTGATGGACGATAATATGTTGTGGTATTGAAAACAACAGTTTCCCTTTTTGCATTAACGTAGACCCACTGACCGAAATCCGTCATATTACTCGGTCCACTATTGTTTTTCCATATTGTTACATTATTTGGAGTTGTCACAAGAAGATCACCATCACCGCCTATATTCCATGACAAGCGAATCGATGCATTTGCATAGCCCACACATGTACCGGAGATGCACGTTTTATATTTCGTATTGCATTTTGTTGTGCAGTCCCCACAGTGTATCATATCAGTGTTGAAATCTATGCAAGACGACGATCCGGCACAGTAGTTACACGTAGTACTTGAGATCACGGTTGAAGTTTCAATGGTGGATGCTACACATAAAGAGATACCATTCAAATACAACACTACTGGCCCAACAACTGAGTGAAAGTGTCTAACTATTTCAAAATAGATTACTCTTTGAGCTAACGCGTAGAGGGTTATAGTGTATGGAGCGGGCTACCATGGCAAACAGATGACTTGTCCATAAGTATTTCCAGAAGAAAAATGCTTACCAGATTTGAAAATAATATGTCTTAATGTTAAAGTTATAGAGATGCAGGTTTTATACCGAGCTAGTTGACACTATGATTCATCATGGTCCGTCATGTATGTGCATTGGAATGTCTAACGTTACCAAAGCAACAGATATGATACACAAATTTTGTGTTATAATTTCGGCAGTCAGGGAAAAGACAAACTTTCTCTTTCAACGAAGCACTGTGCTCGTTTCTTACTTGCGTTCACCCATGAGGGAACCTTTCGAGGTGATTAAACGCTTTTTACTCGGAATCTAGTGGGTTATATGTTATCAACCATGCTAATTCCAGATATGACCATGGGGACTGCCTTAGCCCTTCGTAGAGCTGGTTTTCTGCAAAACTAGTTTTTCAGAAACTCTAAAGTGAATTCAGAACCTTTCTTAATAAGGCATAATTGTAGTCTGCACATTTCCGATCAAAATGAGACATCTTCCAGCTTCACACGACCTTTCTCTGCAAAGTTATAGAATTTGCAAGAAAAGTCCTAAATTACTTTCGTCTTATTTCTGCTGCTTTCAGCTGATAATGAACACAGGGCTTTGCCTGTTAATTCTATAATTTTGCAAAGAAAGGTCGTGTAAAGCTGGGAGATGTCTCATTTTGATCAGAAATGTGCGGGCTACACCCATGCCTCGTTAAGAAAGGCTCTGGTTATATTTCAGAGTTTCCGAAAAACTGGTTTTCTAGAAAGTCAGATCTAAAGGCTAAGGCAACCCCCATAGTCATATTTGGAACTAGCATGATCGATAACCTATAACACACTAGACTCCAAGCAAAAAGTGTTTAATCGCCTCGAAAGGTTCTCTCGTCAGTCTTTGAAAAGACCTCCTTCATTTGGATAAGTTGTTTTAACTGACGAGGGATAATTACTGAAATCCTTCCACTTATACTTCCTTAATCAATAGGATCTTCAGAGGTTTATCTTCTCTGAAAGGTAATGAGCCTCTATTTTGTGTTTTACGTAAAATAGAACGCTGTGATGCTAAGTCATAAGTTCCACAACTACTAGTGCTACCCGATATTCATAACAGAAATCTCAGTTTGAGAAGCATGCTTTTCGACACTGCATGCTTTTTGTGATCTTGTCATAGTTTAGTACCTCAACACGAAAAAACCGTCTCAATTCGAAATTGTTGACCGTTTCAAAATCAAAATCAAAATACTGAAAATCTTCCAAAACAAATGAAAGTGTTTTTAGTGCTCTGCGTATTTTAAATATAGCATTAAAAGGGGCAAAGATTTCGGCTGGAGCTGGTGACAGAGCTAGAATAGAACTCCATTAGAAGAACTTCCCAAAGTTCTCTTAAGTTCTTGTCAACACTATAGAATAAAAAAAAGGAACAGAAACGGTAGCTCAGTCGAGCATGGTTCCCACCAAACAGAACTTCTCCAAAAAAAAAAGGATAAAGTACAGCATCCAACTTAGAGTTCCAATCATAGTGCACAATCGAACACTAATACCTCTATTTTACCTGCGCTTTCTGCGTCAGATGATCCTGCAGCTACTGAACTAATTGTAGCTGACAACTGCGAATCGACGCTGCTATTGAACACATTAGTATTCAAAGTGAAGAATCCTGTTCCTGCAACGTCTTCCGCACTCACGGCCGACCACAAATTGCTGTCGGACACCACCGTCACCGTCGAACTAACCGCTGAAGTTCTGAACGATGAATACGACTGAGTCGGCATTGTGACCGTGGAACTAATCACTGAGCTGCCCACCGAAGCGTTCGTTTTAGATAACATTGTGAGTGTGGAAACGAACATTGAACTGCTCATCCAAAAATATGTTTGACTTCGTACACTGACAGTTGAACTAAACATCGAACTCGTCCCAGAAGAGTATGTTTGCGGCACCGCTGTTGAACTCATCATCGAAGTGCTCATCAGTGTTTGTTGCGCTGACAATGCTGCTGTTGACGCCATTATTGAACTACTCATTGATGTTTGTTGAGCTGACATTGTTGCCGTTGAACCGATCATAAAACTACTCATTGATGTGGGCTGAAGGGACATCGTTGCTGTGGACACAATAGTAGAGCTGCTCACTGATATTGGCTGAGATGACATTGACGCTGTTGAGCCGATCATTGAACTACTCATTGATGTTTGTTGAGATGACATTGTGGCTGTTGAAGCCATTATTGAACCACTCATTGATGTTTGTTGAGATGACATTGTGGCTGTTGAAG